TAACATGCAACACCTTTAATGTCTTTCAGCTCCTAATATCAAATAAAAATAAACCATCATTGGCATGTATGCCCATATAAACCAAGTATTATTTTAATACAACTCGTTCCTGTTAAACAGTATTTAACATGTAACAAGATGCATATAAACAGTTACATTCCCGTGACAAAATTAGCTGAGAAAAAACGAGACCCGTAGTGGGTGTTTTAAAGGCAGTTGTGCATGCGTTTGTGAAGTGGAAAGAAAAATTTCGTAAATCGATAATCAGTCAGTCGCTGTTGTACCGTTTGTCGTAAGTTGTGACGTTTATTCATTCGAACTACTGAAACCATTTCATTAAGTATATTTAATGAAAAGTTCACTTTGACGAACAAAACAGGTTTTATATGAAATATTCTAGTGTTTGTGGTTAAATTGACCTATTCAATACAGATTACAAGAAACTCAGATTGACCATGCATTTTATCTGGTTTGAAAGCCAAAACTTGANAAGAAACTTGACTTCATACCTCATAACTTTGATCTAATCAATATTTTGGCAATGGAGCTTGCGGGAACTGAAATCGGTTGAACCTCATATTCGGACGTTTGTCTGTAAGACATTGCAATCAAAACTTGGCTTGGTCGAACAGAAGAACCTTTATCACAAGAAATCCTGTTATTTCCGAGCTAAAAGAATCACATATCTTTGAAGCTATCGAAGGTGTAAGGAAGTAAAAAGCTGCAGCTTTCAAAATTTATTGTTGTTTGGCAGATACAAATATTATGTTTGACGTATGAAAAGTTCAGCATCTACGATGGGAAAGGAACCCACTTACACTGTTTCACCGCGCAAGCTCTACCAGCTGAGCTGCGATAACAGACGGATGGTATGTGTCACAAACTGTTCGTATAAGATGTTTCGTTTCCCGAAGCCAGATAGAACCCCAAGAGATCAAAATTGGTTAAACGTTTCTCTCTGTGTAGTTTGGTAGTTTTAGCTCCACTAAATACAATAAACCTTCTCATTTTTCAATGTGAAATTCAGTTTGTTCTGTTCTCTTCCTGAAATCTCAACCAATTTTGTCATTTATTACGGTATTCAAACAATTTTAGCCGGTTTTTCAAAAGTTTGTATACGTCAAAAGCTAATCTCATTTATAAGACATAGATTACATCGCGTTGCATTGTAGAACACAATTTAATGTGAACAGTTTTTTCAATAACTTTAAATCATTCCGTTAAACTTGATATGAGGGGATAAAACTTCTTGATCTCACCTGAACTCAAGAACCCACCTCTCTCCTGCTCACAAGTATACATTTTCACATAATAAGAGCGATCCCAGACACGGCCAACGTGAAATAACTGAAAACCTCGGAACCCTTGATCTTAGAATATGGTGTGCAACACACACACACACACTTGGTAAAAGCAACCCAGTCCTCATAGTTGAGTGTTATCCTCTCAACCCCAATTATTGATTCAATGTTTTGCCCGAAATTGTTCTTAATACGATTATAGGAATATTTCAAATAATTAAAGCATTGTATTGTACTGCACCGTTTTCAACAATTTTAAGTAGCAGAGAGAATGAACGGATTAGCTAACATTTGGGAGGTAATGATTGAACCGTGTATGTGTGTGTGTTCACAAACAACACTTAAAATAATAGAAACCTATCATAGACCAACGGACTTGATGGTATTCACTGTATCACTTTAACATGGTTAATATTGGAAAACTACTGCCTGAGGTTTAACACAAAACAGTGACAATAAACTAGAGCAACCTCCATAAATTAAAATGAAAGCCCGATGGAAAGTAACACTTTCAGTAGCACTCGGATCATTTTATAGGGTGGAAATACAACTGCTTCCACAGCCTGCGAAAATGGTTCAGTATTGTGTGCATTGTTCACGAATGAAGCAGCGAGAGCATGATGAAAATTAATAATTTACGTTACGAAGAATTAGGGAAAATGTTTGCAATCTGATGGGTTCGGAATCAGTGAATGAAGATTGTCTAGCAGCGAGATTGAATACAAAAGAATAACCAGGAACTATTCATCAAACGCTGTTATAGAACCGTCTTAAGCGTTTGCAATGAACTGACCGACAGCAGTTACCGCGTTTGAAGTGGATGAGCTGAATTTGAGTGCAGTCTGAAGAAACTCATGAAAAAAGTGATGTAGCTTAGAAGGACTTATTCATTATTTTTCAGGTTCGACGAAGTAATTGCAGTGGGACAAGAAGTATGGTATCAAAATATCAGAGATGGCGGAACAAGCAGTATACAGCAGACTAGTAGACCAGTAACATATTGGAGTACCGCTGGAGACTGAATAATATTGTCAAATACAAACCTCCGTTTTGCGGTATTTTGTTCGGTTCCGAAATGCACTAACTGAAAGAAAACTGAATTGTTTTCAACAATATATTGGAAACTTTGTTCTGTTGATAAGGGTGCCTACTTGTGGAATAGGTGTTGGGATGACTAATAAAGTTGTCGAGTCCAATGCTAATCGGATAACATCAATGTTCTGCTCTTCGAATAAGGTAGAACGAAGCGTAAGAGCTATTTCCAATAGAAAGACAAAGTTGAAACAAATTTATCCGTGTTCGACAAACGCTATATTGGCGTCTGTTATTTCACATTTCCTCTTGCAGATTGGTCTATATAAATGGGTGCGAGCCATGTTATAGGTTGGTGACGGTCACCTGGATTCTAAAAATACCTCACCAAGGTGACGCGATCCAAGCTGTACGGGAAATCAATTTCTCACTAGAAAAGCAGGGGTCAAAACGTCGTTTTTGGCGTTAATCAACGGTTTCACAGAAAAAAGATTAAAAACGATCGAGAGCAATGGGACAGCCGTATCCAAAAAAAAGATTCTTGAATGTATTATGAATACATAAAAGAATTCCTTGGTTTATTCCAATCTACTTTGACTGAATATACGAGTGAAATAATTTACACTCGAATTAGCACAGACGAGTATATTGAGAAATACAAGAAACTGAAAACAACGGGAACAATAAATGCAAATTTTAAAGAGTATTCTACAATCATATGATAAATAGTGTTACAGGAATNNNACGAATTAAGCACTTCAGGCTAGCATTTGAAAACACTCAGGAATGGTAGAACATCTCCTAGAGTCTTCTTAAATATCTTTTTCCATCTTGTCGGAAACATATGTTTGAGTCATTCAATGATAGAAACCGGGCCATGTGCTTGTTTTTGGGGTAAAGGTTTTTGCATTGACGAAGCAAATAACACTGAAAACGAGGTTAGAAAAACGAAGCACTCATTCCAAACAGTTTCATTTGTGAAATATTGTGCAGTAATGATCAAAAGTTCCGTTGGAATGCGCCCTTGTGATATCAAACTAATTGGCCGTGTTCTTCATTCCAGCTAATATAGATACATATTTATTTACTTCTTTGTATTTGTGATCTTTCATGTATAGCGTATGTAATTACCTATTAATGTATCTCTTATGCTTCCTGAAGAATGTCCCTGAAGGGATACAGCCCACTTATTCTTGGTTTCAATCCTGAAGCAAGCCATTTTCATGCACATTCTCATACCAGGTGTGATTCAAAGTGATCCTGCGTGACTGACTGTGAAATGACCGAGTGGACGGAACTGTGATGGTTTGCCTATGATATCACGGAACAGTTCCTGTTGGGATAATATATCGGTAATACCTCCCCCAACTGAAGAAAACATATTTGGACAAATGTTCCGCACATAGCCCTTTTGTGTCTTACTTTATTTCGTAGTGTCAAATATTGCTCAGTGATCAAGGAAAGCGTTGGAACAATGTCTTTACTTGTGCAGATACATCAGTGAGCGTAACTGGGAGGACATAATTTTGACTAATCCTCTTTGAAACGAATCATTCATTCTTTCCTGTGATACAACAGAGCTATTTGCATTCTATCTTTTAACCGGACAAATTCTTGTGTAGATATACAAAATAATCCATAACAAATTACCAACGATGACGTCATGGTCCAAATACAGAATACCCCAGCGAGCGTTGGGTGAAGAAGCATTACATAAAACCTGACGGCTGTTGTATAGTGCTGCACAGTACCAAGTAAGTCAAATACACCACCGCCTCAGTAGCTTGAACCTTCATCTGCTTAGCATCAACTCCCATTCAAGGTTAAAAAAAGCGACAAACATATGCCTTCCGACGAGTTGCTAGCGGTCCTTTTTAGGAAATTTTTCAGGATAGTATTAAAATCGATAAAACACTAGTAATCAGCTTGAGGAATTTTTTACAAAACAAATATCAAATGAGATGTGCATGCCTTTGTTTCACACAGCGTTTTGCATGAAAATCGACGGATCTAATCACGTGTATTTAAGCACCAACTCTGAAATCTCTATACGTAAGTAAACCCGAGAGAGAGAAATAAAGACCAGTAAAAACATCTGATTTCATCCATAAGAAGGACATACTGCTGCCTCAAAGGGCAAGACTGATACTGCGTCTGACCAGATAAGAACTGCCATACCTGTCCAATCGAGTGGCCGACCTGCGCGCACGTGTCTGTCACGCGCCATCCTATGAACGAGGTGATTGGCCAAATTTCTATTGGCTCAATCAGTCTCCATTACTGTCCAGCCAATCAGAAAACAGGGGCGACAGAAAGGACAACTTACTGAAGCCAACAGAAATTGAAATAGAAAAAGTACACGTATACATTTCCCTCAGCGCGTTACCGTTGCCAAGTGATTGTTGTAAATACAATCACACACGATCTCTACAGGATTTATTAATCAGTGTGAAATCCAATAGTCTATACTGTACCACGCTTCAGATTATTTATACATTATTCATCTCTGATGTGCGTGAACCAACACACGGCCCATTGGGTGCATAAATTCATGTGAAAGCTGACAGAAGCTGACACACACTGAGCAACGCACTATTGCTTCAACCCATACACAAATACATTTAGGCGTAACAGAAACTATCTTCACTCCTTTATATCTCGATCCCGATGACAATTGATGTGCAAACTGAACGGCAACATAGCAAATCAGAATACCGGAGTAATAGATTTCAGCCGGAGGATATTCTTCACATGAATAGACATCGAATTGATGATGATGATGACGAACTGATTTCTGCTTTGGATACCGTGGTGTGGCGTATCCCAGGCTCATCTTGGTGGCGTGATTGTTTGCCGGAATGTGGTGAGTCTACGGGTCTCCGCTACTGGTTACGTATCCCTCATATTGAGAATAACAGTGATGGATTGCACTTATCTGACTCCAATTCTACGGATCAAGGTCGTTATTGTTTGGCCAAACTAACTGTAGTACGCAAGTCGGAAATTGTCACCCTAGGTGGTGTTCGCCTCTCCCCGACACATCACACCCTGTGCATTGAGACAGTCAGTGTAATTGCAGGTACACATTGGAAAGTCTACTGGACCGATTGTAAACGCCCAGTCCAATTAATCCCACCTGGACGAGTGGGCACCTGTGCGTTACGTCCCGTCAAACAAGATCCGCTTCAATTGGGTCCGGGTGTGCGGTTTTCTGGCTGGGTCTCCGGACATTGGTATGGCACTCTGAGATCGGAACTGGAAACACAAAAGGACCATGTATATATTTCTAGTCCACCAGTTCCCGGATCGGTCACCTATAATTGGTGCTTTCTTGTACCTGTGTGTATGGACCGTTTAACTCAGGTAACTGTACATCTGTTGCCACCGGAGAACATGAATGAGCTAAGGGTCCCGCCTACGCGTGCTGACACGAAATTTGTTCACACACAAACACGACGGCATGACAGACACGACAGACAAATCAACGGTGTAACTACCAATAAGATGCCAAGCACAGATCGATCATCGTTAAGAGCACAACATACATCGGTTACAGGATACACATTTATAGAGAACAACCCGAAATTCACAGAGCACTCTGCCGACAGTGACGGGGATAGTTTTGAACGGCACGGTCGATTTGTACCCACGTCCGTTCGAACTAATACCGGCGAACAATCCCAAATCGGACCCATTCCGCCCAGCAAAGGGTCCAAATTGGCTTTATTGCCACTGGTACCACTACTGGAACCGGATAGTCGTTTGGTTATGCTTGTCGAGGAGAACTGTGCTAATTCAGGTTCCAGTCGTGTACCGCCTAGTCGACTGGACTCGGGTTACGCCGAACCCAGTGGTTCAACTAGCCCAGAACGGCATTCAACTAAAAGACAGTCGACATGGCAACGAAATGATTCATTCAAGGAACAGCCTTATGATCAACCCCGCCATGCCGATTTGGATAGTTCATCCAAACGGTATGGCCGTGTTCGCCCAACTGAAGGCAGTAGGGCTTGTGCAAATGGTACCAACCAACCTTCCGGATCCGCGCCTCAGTACAATAATCGCGGACATACGGCAACAATCAGAGCATCGGATGTCGTGAGCACGTCAGTGTCACATTCGTATATGGAATACATGCAGAATGAAACTGTGGTGCGAAACGGGACCAGACACGTCGATTCAGTGGAAGTACAAAGCAAATCAGTGAATGGAACATATTGCCATCAGGAAACATTCTCACCTCTGAATGAATCCGGTGACAAGGATCAAACAATCAATTCAAAGACATATCTTGTAAGTCACAGGCAAGGTCCCTCCTTGTTTCTGGGGTAAAAACTTCAACTTGTTCCTTAATAAATATTGGACTGACAAATTTCGGCGTAAGGTCAAAATATTGTAAATTTTACCACGAATTGTTGACATATTTCTTGCGGTAAACTGCCTAGTCGGATTTCTTACAAATTCAACAAACTGAACAGAAAAATCAATTCTTTACATTCATATTCTTGCTTATTCGAGTAGCCTGACATGACTTTAAATAGTTTTGCAAATGATGGTCCGTCGAGGATTGAACTATCTGACTCTGACGTTGAGCAACTCCTGTGTCCAAGATGCCGATGCAATTATATGGACAGTAAAAGATGCTATATATTTGAATGTTGCCGTTCCTTAGAAGTTCCACAACCATATTTTATCAGCTATATTATTATTCGGTTGCATTAGTTGCAACAAGTATATCAATAACACATTGTTCATCTTTGAATAGAACTACTCGTAAGGCGTGATAAGACGTGATTTTAATGGAAATACTCTATCGATTGTACACTGACAATTATCGACCAACTGATGAATATTTTCAATGAAAACAGAACAAAAACAATTGTTTGCAAAACAAAAAGCATGTTTTGATCAATTTTGAGAGGATAGAAGAATTTCATGGTTTTGGAGAAAACAACTTCTGGGTATCACCAGTTCGAAGTCTGATTTGGAAAATGTAGGCTGTTCAGGGTCAACGGTATTCAAAACATTCCTGGTTTCGATTTCTGAGTATTCTTTGATGGCAACAGTTTATGTTTGGGATCCAATCATGTGCTGGCATAGCGTGAATGTGCACATTGATTTGTCAATTTATTATCTGGTTGGCCCGGATTTAAGGCTCAGTGTTTACTCATTTGTTTCTTTTTGTTATTCATTCTAAAATAGGTCAAAATTGTTAACCTGTTCGATATATGTATACATGCGCGTGATTGTTATTCTTCGTCAGATCCTGAGATTTCGTTATTATTGTTTTAGGGAAACGCAAAAGTATGTTCAGATGGGCTATCATTGTTATCAAACCGTTACGCAGTTAGGTATATGGTGAATAGTTAGTGATCTAAACTAGCCAAAGCGTTACGATTAGTACCCTTTTACAAGCCAAATAATAACATAAATTACTTACTATCTGAATTGAAACTGTGGTCGATAAGATAAAAGATTAATGACAATATCGACTTAGAAACTGTGTGACAAAACCTTCCAACTATTCACAAGATATCGTAAACTGGCTTCTATCATCCGGTGCACCGAGTTCACATTGAAAGTGTTTCGGATTATAACAATGGACACAATACGCGTTACGATATGCTTNCCCCCCCCCGCCTCAAAATATCACGTGACAGTAGTAAACTAATCCTGGTTATTCAGCCCTTATGAATCGTTGTCAGCACCATGGAACACGAATCATTGACTTTTGCGGATTACAATCAGCATATTTGCTCTTCTTCATGCAGAATAACCTGATCCGGGCTACTGCATTTGTAAAATCAAGAACACAATATGGATATGCTGAGAACTTTTTTGATAAGGACGGATTTTATTAGCAACACAATCGTTTGCGGAAAATTGTGTTCAAGACGACTTCTGAAACACGAGAGCAAAAGAGGATTAGATTTGATTAGACGATGAATTTGTTGTGTAACTGAGGCGTGAGTTCAAAAGTTAAGAAACACTGGACAACTATTTTTATCTCGTTGGGTCTCACCAACAACGCGAATCCGTTT